GAGGCAGTGCTTATGGAATCGTTCCAGGAGTTGCATGTGACATCTGTAGACAGTCCATGTTTTGCAGGCATATAGCAGGGTTGGGAGGACAATAGCTTTATAAACAAGCGCCTTGGTCTCCCTATGTATGTCCTGGTCCTCAAACTCTCTCTGCTCCACTTGCAGAGCTCAGGCGGTGTTGTATTTCGGTGTCAATGTTGACTTTGGTGGAGAGATGGCTGCCAAGGTAGCAGAAATTGTCACCATTTTCTAATGTTACACCATTAAGCTGTATCTCTGGCATTGGAGATACCTGCACCTAATGGGAAAGGCAAGATCCAACTTTCCTTTTCTTCATTCAAATGTTGGGTTGAAGGCATAGTCAGAGTTTAACTAGCTCCATTTTCTACTGATGCAGGAAATCCACAGCTCACATCTGCCTGATGGATGGCCAAGAAATCTCTGTTTTAAAATCTCCAATGAGGGAAGTTTCAGGAAATCTAACCTTCTGACAATTCTGCAAAAGCACTCTCACATAGGCTGCATAGAGTTTATTATAGTAACCCAAATGGGATGTAACCAAGGCATGTGTTACTATGACTAAGTCTGATGTCTCAAAGGATGGATGCAGTTAGCATGTCAGCTTTAATTGTACAAATGCACACTTGGCCTGAATTTCCAGGCTTAGGGTCAAACCCAGAAATACACCCAAGCTGAAGATCTGTACTTTCCAGGGGAGTCCAACTCCATCCAGGCAGGCTGAGTCTATTCCCTGATCTACCTTTTGACAGATGAGGAACTGCTCTGTCTTGACTGGATGAAGTCTCAGTCCCTCAACCATTATATCACTGGCAACAGGCCTGGATATAGAACTGAATTATTATTTTTTTTGATTCCGGTGGAAAGGAGCAATAGAGGAGGGGGTCAGCTTTGAACTGCTAGCACTGGACCCCCAAATTCTGAATGACTCTTGTATGTCAAGAACAATTACCCAGACATTGCTGGCTCAGCCACTCCTGCTCAGTCTCTCTTGATGAGCAACATGTGCCTTCAAGTGTGTCCAGGACTACTACATTCTGTCCAAACTGTGTCACGCGTGTGTCCAGATTGAGAACTGGTAAAATATTAGAACATGGGGTGACTCCAAAACAAATAATGCCTTCTGCCACATGCAAAGGGCATTGCGTTCAATACCATTGGCAGTACCTTTCCACTACAGCCCAGGAGCATATCACATGAAATAGTGTAGCACAGATCTCACCAGTTTTCCTTTACTGATGAGTTGCGTGAGAAAGTGCTTCAGAAGCTTTCTTTTCTGATTGCACTGGAAATGGCATCAACTCCCTCCAGTACTGCAAGCAAGCAAGCAAGCAAGAAAGTTTGTTGCTTATTCGTTCAGTTGCTTTCGACTCTTTGTGACCTCATAGACCAGCCCACGCCAGGGCTCCCTGTCGGTCGTGGCCACCCCCAGATCCTTCAGAGTCAAGCCAGTCACTTCAAGGATACCATCCATCCATCTTGCCCTTGGTCGGCCCCTCTTCCTTTTTCCTCCCATTTTCTCCAGCATCATTCTCTTCTCGAAGCTTTCCTGTTTTCTCATTATGTGGCCAAAGTACTTCATCTTTGCTTCTAATATTCTTCTCTCCAGTGAGTAGTCAGGCTTTATTTCCTGGAGTATGGACTGGTTGGATCTTCTTGAAGTCCAAGGCACTCTCAGAACTTTCCTCCAACACCACAGTTCAAAAGCATCTATCTTCCTTCTCTCAGCCTTCCTTATGGTCCAGCTCTTGCATTCATAAGTTACTATGGGGAATGCCATTGCTTTAACTATGCAGATCTTAGTTGCCAGTGTGATGTCTCTACTCTTCACAATTTTATCAAGATTGGTCATTGCTCTCCTCCCAAGAAGTAAAGAAAGAGGTGAGCCAATAATCAAACAAGACTTGGCTATGATACCAACAATCTCCCCCCACCTCCCATCACAACACCATATATTATGATGATTACATATTTATGGAACATGAAGAGTGCCAACTGATTCAGAGGTTGGGTGCATCTGGTCATCTTCCTTACCATCAAAAATGCGTTTCCCTCTCTCTCTGGCTTATCATATCACCTGATTAGGTGAAGTTCACCTTGATTCCAGGCCCATTTACACAGATTCCTGCCAATTTCAACAATCAGATGGCTCAGAAACAGTTATGAGCTCCTTCCAAATGCTGTTCAGCCTTCTGTGGCATGAGCCCCCCACAAACTGTGTGATATCACAAGAACCTTATAAGGCAGGCATGGGCAAACTTTGGCCCTCCAGGTGGTTTGGGCTTCAACTCCCACAATTCCTACGTCACATCTTCCTTCCTTCCTTCCTTCCTTCCTTCCTTCCTTCCTTCCTTCCTTCCTTCCTTCCTTCCTTCCTTCCTTCCTTCCTTCCTTCCTTCCTTCCTCTTTCTTTCTTTCTTTCTTTCTTTCTTTCTTTCTTTCTTTCTTTCTCCTCCCTCTCTTTCACTCTTCCTACTTTTTCTTCTTTTTCCTCTTCCTCATTAATATATTTTGCTGTCATAGTTTCCATCTCTGAAATGTTGGAAGACACGTAGCTACCTTCCTGTAATCCTAAAAGCTGAGGAGGTAGACTTGCTTCATTTCATCCCCCCCCCCCCCGCATCCCCACAAAAAAGCCACTAAAAAGACAGTGCTGTTGCAGCCATTGAGTGCTTGTAAGACACATTCGAGCACAGAATATTTTCTCACATCATGAGGAGGAAGTCTGCAATGAGCAAACGAGAAAAAAATGGCAAAATATTCCATAGCTAGCACAGTGTTTGGATTTGGAGGAAAATGTTCCCTGGTTGCCCAGACATATGCAGCAAAGAGGTCCACCTTGACCTTTGAAGTAGCTGAGCTTTTCAGGTATTCTGGCTGGAATGCTTATGCTGTTTCCTTTTTTTGTTCTTTGTTTGAATTTGTTTCATTTTGATGTTGAGCAACAACACTTGGAAGGTCAAACTGCTTAGCTCAGCTGCATAATCAAGGACAGGATGAAATTTGCTTATTTTTGATAAGAACTTTCCAACACTTGCACATGGAACAAATGCCTAATGTAGTTGGTCAGTGTGGAGGACTGGGGATTTCTTTTTTGAAAAGATCTTACCAAAATCCACATTTTAAAAAATAAATTCAAGGGGGAATATAAAAAAAACATAAGGAAAGCCATGTTAGATTCCAACCAAAATACTGTCCAGCAGGCCCGTAGCCAGGATTTCGTTTCTGGGGGGGGGGGGGGTGATTTTTTTCAGGGGGGGTTGGGGGGGGGCTGAGTTTTGGGGGGGGGCTGAGTCTGAGTGAAAGAGGGTCTACCCTAGCAAACCTTTTGTATCATTACCCCAATACCCCCATGCATATGGGATATATTGAGTATGGTGATCAGATCATGATATGAATAAACATAACAGTTTAAATAATGCACCAGTAAGGCCTTTTCGCGATCCACCATGAGAATTTCGGGGGGGGCTGAAGCCCCCCCAGGGCCCCCCCCCCCCCCCCGGCTACATGCCTGGTCACAGGTTATTCAGGCATGAGAAAACTTGTTTTGGACTTCAACTCCCACAGACGGTAGGCTGTTAGGAATTGTAGGAGTTGAAGTCCAAAACACCTGGAGGCCCCAAGTTTGGGCCAATGAACATTTTGTTCATTGAGTAACCTATTAGTTGCCCATAGGTATGTATTTCAGATTTAAGACATCCATATGTCGGTGAAGAAGGAGTTTAAGGAGCTCCACTGGCTGCCGATCATTTTCTGGTCCCAATTCAAGGTGCAGGTTCTTACCTACAAAGCCCTAAATGGTTTGGGACCTGCCTACCTTCATGTCCGTATTTCTGTATATGAACCCACACAATCTCTTCGATCATCTGGAGAGGCCCTGCTCATGCTCCCACCTCCATCGCAGGCGGTGGTGGCCCCTCGACTCTGGAACTCACTCCCCAAGGACATCAGGCATGACCCAACTCTGGCAGTCTTTAGGAGGAGCCTGAAAACATGGTTGTTCCAGTGTGCCTTCCCAGAATAAGGAAACTCCCAGCAATATGTCCCTAAATGCACTTTATCAATGATCTAGGATTGTCTGCACGCCCTTTCCTCTCCGAAATTCTATCCTAGTTATATATTTCACCTGGTCATGCTCAGCATTATTTTTTTAAATTTTAATTATTACATTTGGCCCAGCCATAGGTTTTTTAAGTGTTGTTGTGCTATTGTTAATGCTTACTGCTTGTTTTTTGTTTATGAGTTTCATTTTATTGTTTTGTATTGCTGTTATTGTTTTGCTGATGTATTGTGGGCTCGGCCTCATGTAAGCCGCACCGAGTCCCTTGGGGAGATTTTTTTTTGTGTCAGGAGCAACTTGCGAAACTGCAAGTCGCTTCTGGTGTGAGAGAATTGGCCGTCTGCAAGGACGTTGTCCAGGGGACGCCCAGATGAATTGATGTTTTTATCATCCTTGTGGGAGGCTTCTCTCATGTCCCCGCAAGAGGAGCTGGAGCTGATAGAGGGAGCTCATCCGCCTCTCCCCAGATTCGAACCTGCGACCTGTCGGTCTTCAGTCCTGCCGGCACAGGGGTTTAACCCACTGCGCCACCGGGGGCTCCTCCTTGGGGAGATGGTGGTGGGGTACAAATAAAGTTTTATTATTATTTATTATTAAGAATAAACCTTTCCACCTGTCCTCAATATCATTCTTGCCTTGTTGACTCACATGATGAAAAGGAAAGAGAAAGAGATGGCAAGAAACGTTCATTTTTGGATTACATTTCCTGAAAATCCCTACTTGGCTAAAAATAATGCAGTTGGGGATTAATAGGGCTCGCAGTGAAAAAAATATGGGGAAAGAGAGGCAAGGCAAGAGGGCAGGGAAAGAGAAGGAGCTGAACGCCGAAGTCATCTATATGCTGTGTTCTGGATCCGAGTCAAGTAGGAGAACACTTCTTTTGAGCTTCCTGCAGTCAATAATCTACACACAAACTAATAGGTGAAGTCTAATGCAGACCTGTATTTATTTATACTTCCCTCTTGTAGACTCTAGAGGTTGGGTAGCCATCTCTACAGTCAAACATGCCCAGATGTGAGGTGAACTGAATTGTCCTTCCACACTCCGTGCTCTGTAGTATCAGAAACCTTTTCTTGCAGTCCACACATATTTGAAAACTAAACACCCAGTGACCCAAACCCAAGCTTTATACATTAACAGGGAGCACAAATGGATAAAAATTAGTAGTGAGCAATGGTTTCAATGTCAGTAGGGTGATAGGTCTACAATGGGTTTGCAATCCAAACCATAGAGGAGATATTCAAGGGCTTAGGACCTAAAACTTGGCATGGATTCAGTGACCAACTGACATGGGAGCCATGCACCACCACCAGTATTGTGGCCAACCTACCGATATCTCAGTTGGACTAAATAGGAGACAAAAAGTGCAATAGGGACCTCACTTGTCCAAATTAGTATTACTGTTTGTACCTCAGGTATTGCTATGGTGTCTTTATGTGAATTAAAACCTTACAAAATGAAATGACAGATTGTTACTATTTGTATTGAGAAATTCCCAAAGTATTACTAATTGTTCTTTTTCTAAATACATTGTGTCTCATGTTGCCTAACCTAATTTACTCAGTTTGGGATTGTGTGGCTCCAGGGGGTGTTTTTATTACGGGCCTTTGAGGCAACTCAAGGCCAATTATGTTCTCTTTGCTTTCTCCTGGACAGGTAGGTGATCCAGAAAACCCAGGTGGGTAGGGAGGAATATTTGAGCCCATGGGCTTGGTCAACCCTGGCCGCCCTCCTGGTTTCTGTGGTGGATGGCTGCCTTCCTCGGGATGGCTGGGTATACCGGGAAGCTGGGACTTGGGGAGTCGTGTTGGCTGCTGCACTTGAGGAGGGACAGGTTTCCCATCCAGTGACTCTGCTCCAGTTTCAGGCAAGGAGTGAAGGGACACATGCTCATTTGAGGGGGGAAGGATTACCACCCGCCCTACTGTTTTTACTTGGACACATGAGAGATCTTGGTGATCCTGTGAATGATCACTAGGGTGCCTTCCGTGATCACCGTGATGATGTGGCTGGCCATCCCTATCAGGGTGGCGGTGGCCATTCCTATCAGGGTGACGGTGACCATCCCTATCAGGGTGGCGGTGGCCATCCCTATCAGGCTGGTGGTGACCATGACCACGATTCTGAGAGTGACCATCTCCATGACGGCCGTGATTTCCCTTCTTTCTGCCATGGCCATGATGGTCATCTTCATGGCTTTCGCGATCAGCATGGTGTCCATCTTTCCCCGGTTCTGGTCCAGATTGTTGTTCACCACCTTCTTGTGCCTAATAGCACCATAAAAAATAAAGATCCAATCAATGTCTGTTACCAAGAGAATTCCCTTCTATATGTGGGTCAAGATGCAATGGATGGGAAAGAATCAGGCACATTTATTTGCTTGGAAGTCTGTTTAGTGGTGGTAGAAAACTGTGTGCACCATGCATAATCACAAATGGCTTTTAATGACTCTGAAATGAAGCCAGCCTTCTGCATTACCTGGATTCATGGGTGCAAAGTCACCATGAAAGTGGAAATCCCTTGAATAAAAATGCACTATTTCTTTACTTAGGAGAACATGTCTCTAGGAATCTCCATTGTGACTCTTCTGATGGAAGTTGACCATAGAATCATGCTGGAAAACGTAGAATTTGGTAGTGTGTGTGTGTGTGTGTGGTGGTGGTGAGTTCATTACCATTTTATTTTCATTTTTGTGTGCTATTCCGTCTTCCAGGAGCATGGTTTACATTGCTTTTTAGCTGCATGGGATAGCATTCCTTTGCATTTCCCCAGGGTTGCTATAGACCCAGCAGCATCCTGGAAGTTAAACAGTATCAGAGTCTGGAAAGCCAGGATGCAGGCTCTCTGCTGTTGTTGGTTTAGAAAGTATCTATTTGGGTTTGGAGTCTGCCCTTTTTCCTGGGGTTGAGATCTCCATTTTGGAATCTCCCCTGCCTCCTTCCGTAGAGGGAAAAGCCTCAGATGTGCTGTTGGTCAGACAGGCAAAGCTCTGAAAAGTCATTGTGAGTACAATTGAGTACAACTGAGATAGATAGATAGATAGATAGATAGATAGATAGATAGATAGATAGATTGATAGAATAGCAATTAAGAAACTGAGTTATAGATAGAAATTGAGTTATTGAAAAATAGAGAGAAATAGTTATTGAGTACTATTGAGCATTATTTCATCTTCAAAGCTAACCTGGAGCTTAGATAGGGGAAGACCTGTTCTTTCTAACCATAGCAGCTCAGGGTTAGGGTGAAAGATCCCAGGATTTTTTCTACCTTTTGGAGAAAAGTTACCCCAGTAATTGAAGAAAAGGGAAAGAAAGAACATCTCTATGGTTTCCCAAATTGACTGTTTATGTTGTAACTTTATCAAGCTGTGCCAAGTCTGCCAAGGACTTTGGAAATAAACATTTTGTTGATGCTCATATCTTGACTGGCATCAGTTGCTGAAAGTATTGAGTTATTGCTTCAAAGAAAGACCCCAAGCTGTTCGCCCAGATAAAGAGAGAAGCACATCTTAGTTTTAACGTTATAGCGTCTGGGTGTGACGGCACATGTGCGTCCTGCATTCTTAACACCCATGAAAGTGGAGCACCTTCCCAATTCCACTGCCAAAAAGAAGGTTGTGAGAGGCAGGTGCATAATTACTCTTCACATTCACTGAGGCTAGATGCTCAGGACCCTTGTGAAAGTGAAAAACTGCAAAAGAACCACCCTATAGTCAACTTCCACTGGAATGTGATCACAGAATTGCACTGGAGAATCTAGAAATTCCTCCGGAAGTGTTCTCTGGTGAAATCTCTAGGTTGTCCCCAACGTGTGGAGGAGGTTGACCATAACATCACACTGGAGGACCTAAAGAGCACATTTACAATACAATCTGTTGAACAACTAAATCCAGAAAAGTCAAAATTGCAAATGTGGAGGGATGACTGTAATTATATGTATTTCAGAAGCTAATATAATGCCTGCTGCTGCTGCTAAACAATGTGATAATATTCACATTTTGTCAAATTTGCCTTTTTTGGAAAAGATCCCAGAATCCTTTGGGCAATTTGCACCGGGATTGTGGTGTAGCTGGCTGAGTGTTAGCAGCATTAAGATCACTCTGACCAAAAGGTCATGAGTTCGAAGCCAGCCCGGGTTGGAGTGGGTTTCCAATCAATTGTGTATAGCCTGTTGTCGACCTTTGCAACCCAAAAGACAGTTGCATCTGTCAAGTAGGAAAAGAAGGTGCCACCTTAAAGTGTGGGGAGGCTAAATTAACTGATTTATGAGGCCATAAAGAAAACTCCAGCAAAGCATTCCAGCGGGGAAGCATGTGGGGAATGTGGAAGTGCTTCATCAGCGTCGCAGATGGACGATGAAAGCGACAGCTCCCCTGCCGGCCAGAAAAAAAAGTTAAATAGCCTCTGTGTATGTCTGTATATGTTTGTATGTCAAAAATTGGCATTGAATGTTTGCTATATATGTGTATACTGTAATCCGCCCTGAGTCCCCTGCGGGGTGAGAAGGGCGGAATATAAAAGCTGTAAATAAATAAATAAATAAATAAATAAATAAATAAATAAATAAATAAATAAATACTTGTTAGGGGATTCTGGGAATAATAGTCCAAAAGAAAATGATTTTTCCAAGTTCTGTTCATCTGCATATACTATGGGTTGTTGTTGTTGTCTGACAATAATGTGTAACTGAGCACCATACCTGTGGAGGGAAGAGGGTGCACGTGACAGTGATAAATTTCCGATTTTCTATCCGACTCTCCACCACAGAGCCTTTGCATAGACCTGTTACCTAGGAAAATATATAGAAATATATTATCTATCAGCAGATCATTTGAACAAAAAAAAAATCAATTTCATACCAGATTTCAGTTTTGAATATCTAAAACCATCCCTCCCTGAAATACTGTATGATGCATCTGAGCTTGGTGTAGCGGTAATGGACACACTTGCACATTCACACCAGCCTTTGGACACGTCCACAGTAGAGACTTGAACTCCCTAATAACCCTGGAGACTGTGAAGGGACCGAGGGCAGAGAAATGTTCAGCACCACAATGGAGATATATTGTACTGTGGATCTGTTGTTTTGTGTTGGTTTGAGTCAGGGAGGAATGGCCCGAGAGTGGCAACTTTCCACAAAATTACATTTTTCTGTGAGGCGCTGCAAGATGACTTAGCACTTACTGCAGTTTCAGATGGGAGGAGTGGGCACTTGGAGATGTCAGGCACAGGCCCACTTTTGCGGCACGATGTCTCCTGGATGGTGAACTCCACAAAATTTGAAGGACCGACAACCCACTGTGAAAAGTTCATACATAACAAGTTAGAGATTTTGCAGTCTGGCATAGAACAAAAACTCTTTGATATCCTAATATCAGGTACAAAAGAGTTCAATTTATGTGTTGGAGGCATTGTCAGAATGCCAAAAAACAAAATGAACATTAAAACAAAACAAAGTGTAAGATTTCAATCAACTGCATATTAATGAGTGCTAAAACGTGTCCGGAGAAGGGCAACGAAAATGGTCAAAGGTCTGGAATCCAAGTCCTGTGAGATGGGCATGTTTAGCTTGGAAAGAAGGTTGAGAGAGGACATGATAGCCATACTTTGCAAAAGCATATTGAGGAAAAGACAAGCTCTTCGAGCAGTGGTTCTCAACTTGGGGGTCTGGACCCCTGGGGGGGGGGTCATGAGGGGTGTCAAAGGGGTTGCCAAAGACCATCACAAAACACAGTATTTTCTGTATTGTTGAAGGCTTTCATGGCCAGAATCACTGGGTTGTTGTAGGTTTTTTTGGGCTATATGGCCATGTTCTAAAGGCATTTTCTCCTGACATTTCTCCTGCATCTATGGCAAGCATCCTCAGAGGTAGTGAGGTCTGTTGGAACTAGGAAAATTGGTTTATATATCTTTATATATCTGTGGAAAGACCAGGGTGGGACAAAGGACTCTTGTCCACTGGAGCTAGGTGTGAATGTTTCAACTGGCCACCTTAATTAGCATTCGATGGCCTGGCAGTGCCTGGGGCAATCTTTTGTTGAGAGGTGATACAAAGGTACTACTAAATTTATGCCTTAGAGCAGCCTTCCCCAGATCATGTCTTCTAGATGACTTGAACAACATTATCCACAGCCAACTTAGAGGGTTCCTTTGGTCAAATTTGGGATATTGCTTTTCTTAGGTCATCGAATGCTAATCAAGGTGATCAGTTGAAACATTCACACCTGGCTCCAGCAGACAAGAGTCCTTTGTCCCACCCTGGTATTTCCACAGATATATAAACCCTTTTTCCTAGTTCCAACAGACCTCACTACCTCTGAGGATGCTTGTCATAGATGCAGGCGAGTGAGTTTACTATAGCATGAAAGAGAAGGCCACAGGCTTTCCCACTATAGTGAAACACATTAACATTTGATTTAAATTATAGTAATTCATTGCATCTGTGCCAATAAGTCTAGAATAAACCAATTGAGGTTCTCCATTCTATTTTCTTTAGGTTTAGTTTGGACAACTCATTAGATATAGACTCTCTGCCAAAGAGTACTGGCATCTCATCAAATTACAACTCTCATGATTGTATAACAGGCATGGGTAAACTTGGGCGCTCCAGGTGTTTTGGACTCCAACTCCCACAATTCCTAACAGCCTACCGGCTGTTAGGAATTGTGGGAGTTGGAGTCCAAAACACCTGGAGCGCCCAAGTTTGCCCATGCCTGTTCTATAACACTGAGCTATGGCAGTTAAAGTGGTGTCAAACTGAATTCATTCTATAGTGTCAATGCACCTTTTAAATAATAGGAATTCCCAGCCTTACCTGTGAAGTTGCTTTGGTTACATTGAGCATGGCAAAGTAATGTATATGATTAGTTTCTGTATTGAACTTGAGCAGGCTCTCAGATGCTGCCTCTTGAAACCTGGCTTCCGTTACGTCCCCAGCTACAGGGCAGTCCGGGCATAATCTTGCTAAAGCCACGGCAGGAACTGTTTAGGGGAGAAAAAAATAAGGAAACTAAGAATATGATTCTTAACTTCTTCTTGATAGCAACAACAAGTAATTGCAGCCTTTTCTTTCCTTCTTAGTGTGAGAAACTTTTCAAAACATGGTTGGCAAATGAGAAAAAACCCATGGAAACGCTTTGTGCTTTAAGTATATTATGTAACTGAAACATTGATGTGCTGTCATCAACTCTGTTTTTTGACTAAGGCTCTCTGGATCTGTTTGTGTTCCTGAATTCAAGGACAAGAACTAAAGTGATTATTTGTTTTTTTTACATTTGGAAGTGACACTTGTTCTGCAGCCTGCAGTGCAGCTGCATTTACATTGCATGGGTAGATTTCTCAAACTGTGTCGGGAGTATTTATAATACACTAGCGGTGCCCTGCCACGCGTTGCTGTGGCCCAGTCTGTTGATCTGGAAAATAAAGTAATGAGAAAGTGTTGGTTTCTAATATATGTAATTTCTTTCTGCTTGTGGGTAAGCAGCATTTCTTGCTGTTTCTTTGCCAGTGTTGATGTGGAGATTGTCTGGTTTGCCTACTCTGGAACATGCAACATATAATTGTCCTTCTTTAGGGGTCCCTTTCAAATCTTTGATACTGCATCTGTCATATACATATGTGTGTGTGTGAATGGCTGGATGGCCCTTTGTCAGGAGGGCTTTGATTATGTTTTCTTGCCCTGGTGAAGGGAGTTGGACTGGATGGTCTTAAGGCAGCATTTCTCAACCTGGGGTTTGGGACCCCTGGGGGGGGGTTGCGAGGGGGTGTCAGAAGGGTCACCAAAGACTACCAGGCTTGGTGGCTCTGTGTGAGAAGTTTGGCCCAATTCTCTTGTTGGTTTGGTTCAGAATGCTCTTTGATTGTAGGTGAACTATAAATCCAGCAACTACAACTCCCAAATGTCAAGTCTATTTTCCCCAAACTCCACCAGTGTTCACATTTGGGCATATTGAGTATTTGTGCCAAGTTTGGTCCAGATCCATCATTGTTTGACTCCACAGTGCTCTCTGGATGTAGGTGAACTACAACTCCAAACTCAAGGTCAATGCCCACCAAACCCTTCTAGTGTTTTCTGTTGATCAGGGGAGTCCTGTGTGCCAAGTTTGGTCCAATTCCATTGTTGGTGGAGTTCAGAATGCTGTTTGATTATAGGTGAACTATAAATCCCAGCAACTACAACTCCCAAATGACAAAATCATAATTTTTTGAAGTGATAGTCACTCCTTGTGTAGTGAGACGTTTTGTTGCCAAATTTGGTGTGATTTCGTTCATTTGTTCTTTTGTTTTTAAGGTACTCATTATGCACAGAGCGTTTATATATATATAGATTCATAAATGTATTACTTTCCATTTTAGCATGCATTTATTATATTTATACTACATCAATAGATTTATTCATGTTTAAGGTGTCATAAGGCACTCTGGATTTTAATTTTTTTTCTGCAACGGATTAACACGGTTACCATGTGGTCAACTGCAGAACAACTGAAAGTGCTGGAAATAACAACCTTCTTGAAGCGTCCACTAGTAATTTGTTTTTATATGATTATGTTGCTAACTTATTGTATGTATATTCTGGTATGCAGCTTTCTTTCCTTTGCTCTATGTTCTTGAGGTGGTGGGAGGGGCTGCAGACCACATGATCAGATCTGAGACTGCTCAGACCTCAGACTCCATTAGACTCCCAGGTTCTTGATACTGTCACTTACTTGCTTAGACGTTAGACCAGGCATGAGCAAACTTCGGTCCTCCAGGTGTTTTGGAGTCCAAAACACCCAGAGGGCCTAAGTTTGCCCATGCCTGCTTTAGATTGTTTAGAGAAAACTCAAGTTGTTGTTGATTGTAAGAAAGATACTTTAAACCTATCTATAACAGAATTGACAAGTTATGTACCTGTATGCTGAATACATGAAGGTTGTGAGTAAACCAAATATGTTTCTTTTAATGCAGTCTACCTTATTTTTGTCTCTTGAGAGCATGATATAGAAAGAAGATGTTTTATGGGGGAATAGATGTTTCTGGGCACTGAAAGGAACACTTCTGAAGAAATGCTATATTTTGTGCATTGGCATAATCTCTGTTCCTAACAGATCAGAGACAGCCATGTTATCAGTCTAACAACTGAAAATCAAATTGCCTTGCATAACTACATGTGGATATATACCACTGAAGAGAAGATTTTCCTCAAATGGGTTTCTTTGGCTCTTCTCTGGAAGATCATACTTTTATAAATGGTTATGATTTTCAAACAGTTGGGAATGCCATTTTCCTCCAAAATGTTATGGAGATTCTGGTTTTCCAAAAGGAAGTGTGCCCTGTGCCATGTGTGATTTTTACTCAAGGAAATACATAGGCATACATACGTGTCCGTAAAGTGCAGTCGTAGTTGTACAGACAGCTGATGTCTTTATTCTTGTTGGCTTGAATTGTAAATTTACATTGCCCGTAAACCTAGAAAAACGGAATGGTAGCAGATATTTACAGAACAATTACATTTTGCTCACAGTCGCAGAATTCCTAAATTAGCTCAATCCACTTTTGTTTTTCAAATAATAATAATAATCTTTTAAAATCTTTATTTGTACCCTGTCACCATCTCCACAAAAGGACTCGGCGTGGTTTACAGAATCACTCCAAGTGACATATGCATACAACAATATATAAGTATAAATACAATGACCTAAGTATAATCAACAGTGCATAAAAATCTCATTAATAAAATTATAAAAAACCGAAAATTATAACATTTCTAAAATGCAGTGGAACCTGCAGGACGGCTATCTATCGTAACAATTAATCAAAGTATCGGCCAGTATGATCAATGATTGATCACATTGGCCATGGATTATTCAGGATCAAAGGCCTGTCTGAAAAGCCATGTTTTTAGACTCACCCGGAAGGCCTGAAGAGAGGGGGCTAATCTAATTTCTTAGGGAGTGTATTCCAGAGCTGGGGAGCCACCACCGAGAAGGCCCTCTCCTTCATCCCCACCAGCCTTGCTTGAGATGGTAGTGGGACTGAAAGAAGTGCCTCCCCAGCAGATCTTAATGCCCGCAGAAGGAGATGCGGTCTCGAAGGTAGGTTGGACCTGAAGCATGTAGGGCTTTATAGGTAATAACCTGCACTTTGAATTGGGCCCAGAAACTTATCAGGAGCCAGTGGTGATGTCCCCTAAAGCTTGCCCCAGTTAATTATCTGGCTGCCGCTCTTTGCACTAGCTGCAGTTCCCGAGTTGTCTTCAAAGGCAGTCCCATGTAGAGTGCATTACAATAGTCCATTCTAGATGTAATTAAGACATGGGCCACCATGGCCAAGTCAGGTTTCTCAAGGTATGGTCACAGTTGGCGCACAAGTTTTAACTGTGCAAAGGCCCTCCTGGCATTGCTGACACCTGAGCCTCAAGCGTCAGTGAAGAATCCAGGAGGACCCCCAGACTGTAGACCTGTGTCCTCAGGGGGAGTGTAACGCTACCGAGTACAGGTAGCCACCTTATGCACTTATCGGCCTTGCGACTGACCAGAAGGGCTTCTGTCTTGTCTGGAATAAGTCTCAGATTAATCCAAGCAAGGATCCATCATTACCACAAATGTGCAGTGCAATCACCTATTCCCACACCATTTATCCATTTATTATTGTAGTTTTGTATTTTCTATTTTATTCTGAGAGCTGTAGTCCGAAACAAACTTCCAAACCTTGGTTATCTCTGATCGTTGGTGGCTGATCACAATGAGGTGCCACACTCACCTTCTCAACTGGAAAAGCAATACTGGAATTGTTGACTAAACTTAATGTTGATTTTAAAGTGATTGCTTACAATGTAATAGTCTACACTATACTATGAGTAGAGCACCTCATTGGAGGCTCCTTCTTTGGAGGCTTTTAAACAGAGGCTGGATTGCCATCTGTCAGGGGTAATTTGAATGCAATATTCCTGCTTCTTGGCAGGGGGTTGGACTGGATGGCCCATGAGGTCTCTTCCAACTCTTTGATTCTATGATTCTATGACTAGGCATGGGCAAACTTGGGCCCTCCAGGTGTTTTGGACTTCAATTCCCACCATTCCTAACAACCTCACGTCCTTTCCTTTTCCTCAGCCGCTTAAGCATTTGCTCATGCCTGGTCCAAACTGTCCATCTGAAACCTTTATGTTCTATCTGTCCTTCCATCTATCTGGCCATCCAATTCTTCATCCATTCATCTTTTCTCTCCCCACCCATTAGTCTTTCTTTCTTGTCTCAAAATGCCCTCTGGAGCAATTCGTAAGTATTCGTAAGTCCATTTCTATGGGAGTTCTGCAACCAAATAGGATACTTGAGAATTCAGGAAAGCTGCTCGGTCATTTTCTGAGGCAGATCAAATACTTACGGTCTCATGTGCATGGCGGAAAGTGCAGTTTTTCCACGATTTCCTACTCATGACGTGACATTCAGTTTCCAGAACATCCAGTGTGAGATAGAAGAGAGACCCTTTGGGTCCCTACAGATGGAAACAGAAAAGCCTTTATGGCACATCATTTAGGAGAACAGTCAAAGGAAAACAAAAGAAAATGAAACAAACTTCAAACATTAAAACCCAGCATGTTTTAGCCAAAGAGACAGAAGTGTGTGCAAGCATTCAGTATTGCACTAAAACAATGGTTCCCAACCTGTGGCCCATGGACCACCAGTGGTCCGCAAGGACTAAAATATGGTTCGCAGCTTCATTGTTACCTTTTTATTATAACTCCTATAATTCCTCAAACAGGATTACCAACTTTTCGGCCAGAGTGTTCTGGGAGCTGTAGACCAAAAAAGTAACCTTTCTCAGCTCTGTTATCCTGATTTGTTTTCCGGGAATTTTATGGCCGTTGTGCTTTTTGTTATAATACCATACAGAGATGACTTCCAGACATGATTTTGGTTGTGCCATTACCCTGCCCCATCTACATGATTTTAATGAGGGAAGATATATATATTATCAGATAGCAGTGGGTGTGCGCTATAAACTATTCAGATTCAGAAAAACCTATACATAGAAAAATGTGGGCTTGTTTTTAAAAATGTGGACAAACCCACAGTGCAAATACACTCTATTCCAACATTTCTAAACCTGGAGGTTGGGACCCCTGGGAGGGTCAAGAGAGGGTGTCAGAGGGATCGCCAAAAATCATCAGAAACACAGTATTTTCTGTTGGTCATGGGGGTTCTGTGTGGGAAGTTTGGCCCAATTCTATCGTTGGTGGGGTTCAGAATGCTCTTTGATTGTAAGTGAACTATAAATCCCAGCAACTACAACTCCCAAATGTCAAGGTCTATTTTCCCCAAACTCCACCAGTGTTCACATTTGAGCATATTGAGTATTCGTGCCAAGTTTGGTCCAGATTCATCACTGTTTGAGTCCTCAGTGCTGTCTGGATGTAGGTGAACTACAACTCCAAAACTCAAGGTCAATGCCCACCAATCCTTCCAGTATTTTCTGTTGGTCATAAGAGTTCTGTGTGCCAAATTTGGTTCTATTCCATTGTTGAAGTTCAAAATGCAATTTGATTGAAAGTGAACTATAGATCCCAGCAACTAGAACTCCCAAACGACAAAATCAATCCATCCATCCTGCATATCAGATATTTACATTATGATTCAGAACAGTAGCAAAATTACAGTTATGAAGTAGCAAGAAAAAAAATTATGGTTGGGGGTCACCACAACATGAGGAACTGTATTAAGAGGTTGCGACATTAGGAAGTTTGAGAAACACTGCTCTATTCACTAAGGGGGAACGTGTACAAGCGAGAAGCTCAGAAGCAGATAAGGACCAGATGTGAGATACAATGTGCCTATGTAAGTAGACTTGATAAAAATGCACATCATAAGGGGAAAGAGAAAATATCTAAGGAGTGCCCTTCAATGGGGAGAGATAAGGGCCATCCCATGGAAAGCCTCCATAATCGTTTCATATTGGAGCCCCTGGTGGTGCAATGGGTTAAATCCTTGTGCTAGCAGGACTGCTGACCAAAAGGTCAGCAGTTCAAATCCAGGGAGAGCAGGTTGAGCTCCTTTCGTCAGCTCCAGCTCCCCATGCAGGGACATGGGGATGGTAAAATATCAAAACATCTGGGTATCCCTTGGGTAACATCCTTGCAGATGGCCAGTTATCTCACACTAGAAGCAAATTGCAGTTTCTCAAGTTGTTCCTGACATGAAAAAAAGTTTTAGTAACCACTTTATGACTTTTCTGTCCTAACCCCCTTGTTCTCTAAAGTTACAGGACCCTTCATCAACATCTCTATAGTTCTGCCATTGCTAAACACACAACAGTTCTTCTGTAATGTTGGAGTGCGGTGTGCCTGACTTATCTGTGGGATGCATTGGGATAATTTGACCCTATCTGTGCCACCATCAGCTTTTGCTCAGGACTTGACCAACAATGGATCCCATGTCTCTCCTCCCTTTCTCCCAAAAGTCATTTGACCTCTTAGATGTCTCTGGATAGAGCGAAGAGTACAAAGTCAGTGCTTACCTGTGGCATTTCACGGGCATCAAAGATTCGCTGCAGACCCAAAACATAGCCCTCCTTTCGGTGTTTATTCAGCTTGTTGAGGGCCTCTTCTGCGATATCCTCCACCACAGAAGAATTACATGCTGGGGACGTTAACTGAATGGGGGGCGGTGGTAGAGCCAGGCAATACAATACCTGGAGCCCGAGCACAAAAAATATTAGACGGGCCATTTGGAAATGCCTGGGAAGAGGGTGCTTAGAAATGTATTCAAGATTCTTTATATATCTGGAGGTGGTTTACTAATATTTGTTCTTCTCTTGCACATTGGCCCTCACCTTTAAACCTGGACATGGTCATCACAAACAATAACTCAGCTATTAGAAGATTACAGATGCACAAGTTGATGCAACTCGCTGCTGAGTCTGTGCCCTTGGATTTAAACCAAGGAAGCCCTGCTCAGAACAGTGGCATTTTAAAAAGAATTTATGATAACTATGACACTATCTCGTACGGTTAAGTGAGA